AAAGACCAGTTACCAAAAAGGAAATAAAAACTAAATAAGATGTTAGTCAAAATACAAAACAAAAGATTAGATCAGAAGATACAGGACAAAATAAAAATGGTACATCTTGTAAACAGTATACAGTTTACAGTGTAACTATACTGTTTATACCATAGCATGTAGAGGTCCCACATCTACAGATTCTTCATAGTAAGTTTGTTGCTGCTGTTATAGGGACTTATAATTTATCCACCTTCCCTATTTGTGAGCCACCAGTGCTATGCAGTTGTGGAAAAGGTAAATGCTATCCTGGAATATATTAAATGAAGTATTTTCAATACAGATAGGGAAGTATTTATTCTATTGTGCAGGGCAAGGGTGAGATTTTAACTGGAATACTGTGTGCAATGCTGGTGCAATGCAGGGAACAGAGAGGAAGGAGAGGAAAAGAGCTTGGGTTGTTTAGCAAAACAAAGGTTTAGGGGCAATTATAATTGTTCACTGTAAGTATATTCAGGGTCATAAATACAAGGGAAGGAAATGGACTAGTTAATTTGAAGGGCAACATTGGTGCATGGATAAATGGACATAAAAGGGCCACAAATAAATATATAGTGGAGATGAGATGATGGTTTCTAATCTTCAGAGCAGTGCAGTTCTGAAGCAACTTTCCAATAGGAAGAGTGAAGGAAAAGAAACGTTGCTAGTTCTGAGAGAGAGCTCGATCAGTTTACAAGAGGGATCGTATGATGCTTTTTATTGCACTAGTAAACTGAGGCTATATACAGGCATTACATTTGTGATGAAAGAAAAGCCTTCTCCTGGAATGAAAAGAGAGTGTAGGTACATTCAAGAGCTTTCTTGCAGAAGAAAAACAGCTCTTCTGCAGGAAAGCTCTACCTTGTCAAATCAGATAGATCTCTCCCCTCCTGTACTCATTTGTACAAGCTGCACACTTCTCTCAAGTGTTGCACAAGCTCATTTGTACAAGCTGCACACTTCTCTCAAGTGTTGAAGACCCCCACTATCCCACAGTTCTCTGCTTCCCTCACAGCCTGCCCAGGGGTGTACTGTCAGGAAGCCTTGTGGGAATCCTTTTCCCTGTCCTGCCAACAGCTGATTTATGAACATTTTCCTCTGGGGAACCTCTCAGCATCCCAGGAAGGTTCCTACCACAAGAAAAGAGCCTGTACCCGGTGCACTCCTCAAGTTCCACTGGGAAGCATGGTGGGGAGGGACATGGACATATTCACCACATTAAGGGAGCCTTGAAGCCATTGGAGAATTGTCCCCTGCCTCTCCCTGCCCAGTGCCCAGTAGGACCAGAGACACATGGGAGCCAGAGATAAACCTGGGTTCAGGCAAACTTGCTGCTGTGACAGAATGCTCCCACCTCCTGGAAGTGGCTATCTTTGGGTCTGCCCAGAAGAGTACAAAGAATATTTTCCTGTAGGAGGCTCTTACCATGGGAGAATGGCCTTCCTTATTGTTTGATTGGCGGGATGGGTGAACTGTTCTTGCTGGGCTGGAACCCTTTTGAGTCTATCTGTGTTTTGTTTCCCAGGTCAAATTAGCCAGATCAAGTCCAAATCTATTTGAATCATCCAAGAACCAGATAGATACTTCCAGGTATCCTTCACCCCAACCTGGGGCTTCAGATACTTCCAAATCCTTTGGCAGGCAACCTACCTGCAGGCCCAAGCCCAGAGACTTGGGGCTTGGATGCCCCTGAGTTTCACTTGCCCTTAGCCATATGGCCACAGGAGCAAGCTGGGGAGGCAGGGGAAATACCATGACCACAAAGGTGGCAGGGGGCAGTACCCTGACCAAGTAGGTGGCTTACAAATTGCTTTGTGTAGTGGAGGGTGCAACCCTGTCTGCTTGCAGACAGGGCTACCTATGACAGCCTCATAGTTAGCTTCTCACTGGCCAGCTTCCAGTGGGACGATCTGGGCTACACACTGACTTTATGGAAATGGGAGACTCCTCCCTACCTTGCTCCTGAGGCCATATGACTGAGGGAAAGTGAAACATGGGGGCATCTGGTGATCTTAAATTCAGGGTCAACTTAGATTCAAGGAAATATGTTAATCATCAAGACAAAGAACAAAGGAGAGAGTATCTCTCGCTTGCCTGGTTTTTAAAATACTCACCTGGGAGATGGGAGATGGCAGTCAAATCACCTGTTTAAGTGAAACAGTGTCAGCAAGACAGCGTACAATGCCAGCCTATATTTTATTGATGAGGTTCAAATCCCCTTGCCATTACCTTGAATAAATGCTGAAATACTGGATAAAAAGGAAGCAACAAATTCTCCTTCATACTGTTATAAATCTAGAATTCCCAAAAATTTCTGCCGAAAATGTTCTGCAAATTTGACTCAAATTAACCAACAATGTTAAGAAAGTCAGTATTTTTCAGTAAATGTATTGTTCACACAAAATAATTTGCTCATGGATATGGGGCTTGAACCTAGAAAAAGAGGGGTGCAGAATGATGAAGGACTGCCACTACAATATACAGGACATGTCTACACATGTGCCTAACTGCACAGTTGTTACCGCACAGTCATTCAGTATTTGCTTTAGCCAGTCCAAATTTGCTTTAGGAAGTACTAAATGACTGCACAGTAATCACCATTACTGTGCAGTCCTGGTGGTGCACAGGTCGTTTCCAACCCTACTGTGCAGTCGCAATGAACTACTGCACAGGACGGTCGGCATCACAGTTTGTGCCCACCGATGTTACATCGCCGTAGTGACAAACTACATTGCCATAGATCATCACTACGGTGACGTAGCATTTTGTGTAGACACGCCCACAAATCAATACCCACAGAGAGAAAGAGTCTGAAGTGCTTCCGTAGAGCAACAGCTGGGGAAGCTTTTTCTGCCGAATTAAACCCTAAATTCAGGTTCTCCATTTTCCATTCAGAAAAAAATGTGCTGTATTTTTTGCTGTAGAATTTTTAAGTACCAGGGGTTTAAATTAAAAAATAAATAAACAATAATGATCTAAGTAACCAAATATATGCTGACAAAGAATTTTGCAGGAGTTTCTAAGTGATCTGCACTATGTATTTTGATATTCAGATGGGAATTGAATGGCTTGAAATGAGGAGCTGAATTGCATTCCTCTTATAGCCTGAAAGAGATCATGTTCGTCTGAGATCTAACTTTAACTGCCTAAATAATGAAGCTGGAGGAATTTATTGTTAATGCCCTATATGTATCTTATTTACAGTAAGCAATTCAGGACAGTGATAATGTTTATTATGTCTTAAATCCCCAGGCAGGGTAGTGGCATTCAGGAGTGGTTCCAGAATGGGTGCAATGGTATGATTGTGCCCCCCGCCCCCCTTTCCGACCACATGGCAGGTGCAACAGCTGGGGCCTTTCTTAAGAATCTCCCCATTCCCCTGTCTCCCGCTCTGGAGCTCCCCTATACCCCAGGACAGTGGCAGTTGTTGGAGGTGGGGGGGTGCCTCTGAGCATGGAGGTGAAATGTGTGTGGGGAGGGAGATGGACTTCTTACCTGCTTTGGGGACTTTAAAAAGTCCCTGACTGCTGCTTCTGTGGGAGGGAGGATGCTGGGAGCAGAGGGTGCAACCAGTTGCTGTTCCTGCACCCTCATTTGCAATATCCTGGATCTACTTCTGGTGGAATTATATCATGATAAATTCTAGTTACCCCTTTTGGGAATCTTATATCTAACCCATGATCTGTACAATTAATAATATAATAAAAGTAAAATAAAGAATACTTTGGACTTCTATACTGCTTTTCATTGAAGAATTTCAAACTGTATGCAGTTAAGCCTCATGCTGTGTCTATCAGTTCTGTTCTATTCATTTGACAAAGATGAAACTAAAGAACCAGACTCAGGAGTGCAACCACCATGTTCTCTAGCTTCTCTAAACTGCTGTGTATTATTGTCTAGCCCAACTAAGCTGAACTAGGTAGGAAGAAAAGGTGGCTTTACTCTGCATTGGTAAATGTTTTTCACTGATTAAGTGGTGCAAACAACCGGAGTAGGCCTGAGAGTTAGAGTCTATTTATTTATAAATGTAAGTGCACAAAAATGTGTACACTTATATTTATAATGATGGGTATTTCAAATGAAATGCAAGAACTGAATAAATATTTGTTGACTGTACAGTCACAGAATATTCATCATACACATACATTATAAGCTATTTTCATGTTAGAGAATCCCCTGTTGTTATATTTAGCCATGCTAATTATATACCATTAAAGTATTAGGTTTCTGTGACTTAAACAAAAGAAAAAGAAACCCCTATTGAATCAGCCCTAGGCTAAAGCTATGGGAAGTTTTCTCTGTTGGTATTTCAATAGAGATAATACAGTTTTAATTTAGAAAAATATGTTGGCTCTTAGAACTGTGTTGTTTATATCCAGTTAAATGCCTTGGTTGAGGTTATGTCCTAAATTTAGAATTTTATCTTTAATAAGAAGATAAAAATGTAGCACCTTGTCCCCGCAGCACAGAAACAGATTTTCTGTTTAATTGAACCTGCTGTTTGACCTTATGAGGTTTGCCATTAATTACTTCTCTGATTTCTCTTTTATTTAACTGGAACCTGTCCTGTTTGTAATCTACACCTGTTACATCAAGAACTTCATGTAGTATAACCTGATGTAAAAAGAAATCCAAGAATTCCATATGGCATTCAGAATATGCTACCTATACTTCTACCCATATGAAAGTTTCTCTGTTGTACTTTGGGATCACAGTAGGGCCCATGTGCTTTTTTTTCTCATTCTGATTCTGTTCAGCAATAAAAACCTGGACAGATACATTGATTTTGGGATGAATTTATTGAGGTTACTTAAAAGGGAGACTTCTTAGCTTGAAGCTGCTGTCATCATATATTTGCATAGAGACAGCTCGCTGTATCTGTATCAGTCTCTGTCTCTCCCCCTCGTTGATGCTATATTTATCAGCCTTCCTGGCCATAAAAGGCCTGGACTGTGGCTCTGACATTCCACTGACTACAGGCATTATTTTTGTTCTAGACCCTGGAGTCCAGTCCTTAGCCCTGGTCCTGACTACCTCTTTGCTGGATTCAACTTTACTGGATTTTTCTCTCTATCATTCATTCACTTCAGGACATTTAAATTTGTCATTTTTCATTTGGCTGCTGGTAAGTGTTCTGTTTAGACAGGAAATCTTTCTAGGTGGTCACCTGGCTTCATCTGTAACATCGAACTGATGGCAGCTCCCTTTAATCTTCTGAGCTCGGCAGTTGTTTGAAGGAGTTGTGGTAGCACGTTGGAGAAATCAGTTAGAGACAAAACAAAGTAAAGCAGGGGCTCAGTTATTATCAGCTCAGCTATCCTAGCAGATAGCTGTAGTACTTTCAAATGAGGCATGAGTTATGGGAGCTACAAGAGGGGTTTGTTGTCTAAATTCCTCGGGAATGAAAGGATGTGTAAATAATCTTCTAACAATTTTCTCATTATGTGGGATTTACTGTGAATTTGTGAAGCAGATGAAGCGACACTGACTGAGATCAGAAGAAAATCTGTTAGTTTTCTTTTTATCAACATTTTTATTTCAGTATTTTTAAAATGTTATTCTCAGTAGACTTTTAAAAGCACAAACTAATCATATTGAATACTAGCTCAAGAGATATGCTATGAATAAAATCTTTCTTCAATATGTATTTGCTGTACAGATAAGCACAGAATAACTGTCTATATTTATTATCTAGGAATTTGTTCTGACAGCTCTTAGCACAGGGTCCCAAAACTAGGACTTTTGGATAACTCTGACATGGATTCTTGGCCATGTCTAGACCAGGCTCTGCAATCAGGCAAAGCCTATACAAATTTTTAGAAGGAATTCCAGTGTCTGCATGCATGGCCATGTAACAGACTCAACTCTGCATGAGGTTTAAGAAGGGACTAAGCAGGTTATTAAATTGAGGTGCAGGATTCTGTACTGTCCTACTTAAGTCCTCCTGATTTCAGGGGGAGCCAAAAATTTTGTGGGGATCAGGGATCTTTTTGTAGATTTTCAAAGAGCATAGGACATATTGGACTGGACCAGTGGGGTTTTTTTGTCTGACTAATCCCTATCAGCAACCAACAGCAGATGTTTCAGGGAAAGATGTAAATCCTCATAATGGACAATTATGCAATAATACTCCTATGAAAAAAGGTGTCTTCCTAACATCAGGCAATTAGCAGGAAGGTCGAAATCTTATGTCAGTTTGTATCTTTATTTGTGTAACTGCATATTTTTTATCTAGATAAATGTATAACTCCATTCAGTTCTTTCTTAAAGTTATTTCTTCTGGCAAGAGAGATCTACAACTTAATCATGTATGCAAAGAAAAAGAAAGTTTTCTTGTGTGCATTTTAAACTATAATGACTCTAAGTTGATTGCATGACCTCTTGTTCTTGCAAGGAGGTGGCACATGGAAATGTTTGATTTAACTTGTGTAAGGTACAATTTATATCCCTCCATCACATCTCCTCTTATTCAGTCTTTTCACAAAACTAAATAGTTTTTCAGTCTTTTTTGTTAAATCTATCCTCCTCTAGAAGTCTATTCCAGCTTCTAATTATTTTAATTGTCCTGCTTTAATTGCCTATCTTTTCTTGATCTTTTCTGAGATTGGATTACTAGAACTAAACACTAACATACGCAAACTGAAGGGGTACCATGAACAACAGGGGCAATAATGTAGCAGTTAATATTCACAATGAACCTTGCCGGTTCTGAACACAAAGCTGGAGAAGATGAAGCCGTAACACTCTCTGCTGTAGGAAATCAGAATGATCCTTTCCCCATTTTTTCCATTTAGTGTATAGTGCAAGACCTTTTTTTTGGATTTTCTCTTCCTCATCAGAGATGGATTCATATCATCCTTAGCTTGCATGTGATGAAGGAAAGACAATAAGAAAAGTAGGGAAGAACAAAAACCTCTGGCACCAAAATAGTGTGACAGATTCAATATAAACCATTAAATAAGCCCCCTCATTTGCTGCAAATAGCTTATTTCTAGTCTTGGTAGACCACAGATTCAGTACAAATCTACAGGGTCATGGAGCTACAGAAATATGGTTTTGGGATTCATTAATAGAAGTATTAGGTGAAAGACATAGGAGATAATAGCACCTCTTTACTTGGCCTTATTTAAAGTACTGTGTGCAGATTTAGACTTCACATTTTAAAAGGGACAGGAAGAAGTTAACGTCCAGAGATAGGTGGCAAAAATGATAAAGGGCTTGGAAGGCAAGTCACATGAGGAGAGGTTGAAGGAAACAGTTGCTGAAAAGGCACTTAAGAGGGGACATGGTAGTAGTCTTTAAATATCCAAAAGGCTGCTATAAAGAAGAGGGAAAACACCTTTTCCCTCTTGCTGCAGAGACTAGGATATAGTTCAGTGGCTTGAAGTTGCAGCAAAGTAAGTTTAGATCAGGAAAAACTTCACTGTTAGAACAGTAGGGCAGTGGAATAGATTGCCTAGGGAAATTGTGAGATATGTTCCACTGATGGTGTTCAAGGAGCAGATGGAAAAGCATTGGTCCAGAATAATCTAGGACTAGCTATGGCTTTATTTTACTTTGAGTATATCTCATGCTTCTAGGCTTTGCTGTTTGCCACATGGGGCCAGGAAGGAATTTGGGCTGGCTCCCCACTGCTGTGTGCACTCCTGGGGAGATGGTGGGCACATGCCCCCCAGATCTGTGTGCCAGGCAGAGGCAAGCATGGGTTCAGGCAGCCTACTGCAGGCTCAGGCTCCCCACCCTGCTGCACTCCCCCCAGGGCCTCTGCAGCCCGATGGGCATGGCATGACAGAGCGGGGCTAGGTGGGGAAGCTCACTGTGGCTGCTGCGAGCCCCACACTGCCCTGGCAACACATCCTCTGCCTGCCCTGGAGCAGTGAGGGGCAGTAGTACAGGGTTGCCAGGGCAGTGTGGAGCTTGCAATGGCTGCAACGAGCTTCCCTGCTCATCCCCACTCCGCCTTGCTGCACCCACCAGGCTTCAAAGGCCCTGGGGGAAAGCAGCAGGGAGGGGAGCCCAAGCCCGCAGCGGGTAGCCCGCCTCATGCACTGTTCTGGGGTGCATGTGTTCCCCCCTGCCCCAAGGAGAGTGTGAAGTGGTGGGGAACTGGTTCCTCCCACTACCCTCTGGATGGCTCCATCCCACTCCTCACCAGGGCCCTGCAGCTGCACATTGTGGCCCTAGACCCCAAGCCCTATGCACCACCCAGCTGGGCAGCAGCCCCAGCCCCAGCCCTGCCATGCCCAACTCCCTTCCTCTCTATGGGAGCCTCAGTTCACTGCCAGACTTACCTGCAAGGGCTGCTGTCCAGGCTGCCTGGCGGCCATGGGCATACACATGCACATGGTGCCCCCTGCCTGACCGCAAAAGGATATTGGCCACCGTGGTCCCCCTAGGGTGTTATGTCTTGTGGTTGTATCAGTTTACTAAAAATGAAATTGTATAAGGTTTGGACAGGGATGACACTGCCTCAGGCAGGAGGTTGGACTGGATCAATGGCCCTCAACTTGGGGTATGCGGCATCCGACTCACCTCAGTCCCCATACCAGGTTTTAGGGTGTCCAGTTGGCCCTGGCATGGGGACTGAGGTAGGCCTCAAGGGCAGGGGGCATCCTGTCCTGTCTGGCCCTGCAGCCTTCATCTTCCAAGTGGTGCTGCAGGTAAGCGGGCCAAACTCCATGAACCTGCTGCTCAGATGAGTGGGGCCCTGGGACTCTGCCACACCTGGAGGTGTGCAGGCAGGGCTGGGGAGCTGGGCCAGTCCTCTCCCATGCAAAGGTTGAGAACCCCTAGACTAGATTACCTGTGGAGGTCCGTTCCTGCCCTACATTTCTATGTTTCTGTCTTTTAAGTTGTTTCAGCTTCAGATCAGAACTTTCTTCCCTCCCGTAACCAACTATGTCATTGCCTTTTATGAAGCACTTGAAAAAATCTTTAAATATTTTGGAAAATTCAGTGGCTTTACTAGGTTTACACAGAATAAAGACAGTAAATTGGGAAGACAGGAAACATTAAAGATAAGCTAAGTGTTTTGTTTGTATCATTTTTCACCATGGAGGAAAAAGGGATGGTGCCTTCCCCTTAGCTACCTTTTGCAGGTAAAAATAAAAATGAGAAGTGAAATATGGGTTTCACAAAAGCCAGTGACTAAATTCTTAGTGACTTCATTGTGGCCAGGTTTCACCAAACAATTAACAATGAAAAATTTCTGAATTAACACCCGAATGAAGTCAATATTTTGCAACTTAAATGGTCGTTTTTGTTATCAGTAACATGTAGTTCTGAAACTTTGATTTGTGGCAGTGAGCATGGAAACATTCAGAGTTTACTTCTTTTTTCCTTTTTTTCCCCTTTTGGTTTCATTTAGTCCTTGTGAGTGTTTATCTTATTCCTTGAACAGAACAAGTCAGAAACTGGCTGATTTATACTGGATCCAAACACTGCTAAAAAATATCAAGGGATGATATCTTGGTGCCATTAAGTACAGTGTTAAAATTCCCCATAGGCTTCACTGGGAGCAGAATTTCTTTCTCCCATTCCAGTTTTTTAAGTATCTTTTATAATTAGAATATAAAATAGTGAGTTTTATAACAGAAATAAAAAGAAGGGAATAAATTTTCTGTCTTTCAGACTATTAAAAGAAGACATCCCTTTTTCTTTTCATAATGTTCAAGGTTCAGCTCTTGTGCCAGATGAGGGATAAGTATGGGACACCCTAAGAAAAGAGACTAGAAAAGCTATTCTCCTCCCACAATTAATATCCCTTCATTATGTAACTCTATGAACTTTCTCATTGCTGAGATGCTTAGTCCCATTCCAGGGGATTATTGCACCTTGCATACTTACAGCTAACCACAGGTAGCCCTAACAAGAGTCAAGGTTTCTTCTGTAAAACAGAATCTCGGTTTTCATTTTAAAAAAACAAAAGGTGCTAGGACCAAGGCACTGGCAGCTGGGGTAGATCAGGTAAAACCAGTATCCACATCAGGGAGAATTCAGAAACTAGAGTCAGGATCTAGAGAGCCCAAGGCAGGAATCAAGCCAGGGGCCAAGAAGACTGGAACTGGGAACAAAGGCTGGAACTGAGCGGCTTTGGGTGTGAAGGCCATCGTATAAGAAGAGTGCAGCAGCTTGGGCTGTTGTTAAATCTAGGGCTGTAGCCCAACAAACAACCATACCAGACAGGCAGCCTGCTAAGCTTTGGCTGTAGCTGGTTTTGATTGGGTTTCATACCACATGGGGAGACTTAATCATTATTCAAATAAAGGCTGGATCTTCAACTGTCTGTGCCAACTTGATGAACCAATAGCATATTGTGAGAACTGCTTCCCACTTGTTCAAACTCCACAGGTCAGCTGAAGACTGTAGGAATGTGATTATCTGCTGAAGGCTCTGAGAAACACCTGCTAAGTAGGGGCAACATCTAGAGAAGTTTTCATGGAGAGCTTGTGTGTGAAGCTCTAGACTGGCAAGGGGAATAAAAATGGATGAAACTTGGAAAGTAGGAGGTTGTATTTTAACAGCAAATGTAGCTTGTATTGCTGAATAAGATTTGACACGATTTTTTTTTTAATTTGGACACATGGTCATTGAATCTCTAACAGTGCATAGAAAAGAATCTGGTTAATAAGGGCCCACTTTTTTTTATCGCCAAAATTTAGCATTCTACTTAATTACTAGTTTTATTGCTTTCAATTTGTTGTTGGAAAAGTTGAACATCCCATAAACTGAAGCTGATTTGAATGAATTTTTTCGTGTGTGTAAATCTTGGAACTTAAAGTAAATAAATACTTCACTAATTTTTTTTTTACTTCGTTTAAACATTTCAGTTTCTTTGTCCTCTCAAATATTTTTCATTTAAAAGACATATTGAAATAATTTCTGAGGAAGATGATCATGTAAGACCTCAATAATTTATAACATCAATTGGGAGACAATTATACATTGCAAATTAATGAACAAATACAATAATACAAATATTTCTGAGCATATCAATTAATGTGTGAGTTTCCTGAAATGTGGGAGACACCATAAGAAGACCATTCAAAGTGTGTTGTACTGGATATGAAGGAAAAGTTTTAGATAATGTGTTAATATTAATGAGAGGTTGGCTTGGTTTGAATCATCATCTGTTTAATCTTTTCTTTTTTCAGACTGGGCACACCTCAGTCAGAACAGTGTAGTGGAATCTGATTTAGGCACCCATCATGGCTTTACCTTTCTACCAAAAACACCACCAACATTATGACCGCTCATATCGTCACAAAGAGCTGCAATCCGCTTTAAGCCAGTACCAAAAGGAGGAGAAGCGTAAATCTGCAGCCTATGCTCATGGGTCTGCAGCATATCGTCACCGTTCTGCAGCAGACTACAGCCATGCCACTGTAGCAGATTACAGCCATGGATCTGCAGCCTATGCTCATGGATCTGAAGCCTACAGTTATGGATCTCTCGCCTATGATCATGAATCTGCAGCTCAGAGTAAGAGGTCAGCTGCCTACAGCCTTGGATCTGAAGCCCTCAGCAGGAGGTCAGCTGCCTACAGCCTTGGATCTGAAGCCCTCAGTAAGACTTCAGCTGCCTACAGCCTTGGATCTGAAGCCCTCAGTAAGAGATCGGCTGCCTACAGCCTTGGATCTGAAGCCTACAGTCTTGGGTAAGATGAGAAAAACATAGCTTTGGAACAATAATGAGAAAATGCTTGTTCAGCATGTTCCCATTAAAATTAGTGGTGAAACTCCCAGTGACTGGAACAAAAGCAGGTTCTGTGGCGTTAATATATTTTTCTATATGGAAGAGGGTGCAGTTTCTAGTCAAACTGGAGAGGCCACATGCCCCAGAATAGACAATATCCCAGTGTTTAGGGTACTTACTTGGCACGGATGAGTTTAAGATTCAAGTCCCTCCTCTGCATGTTTCAGCCCAAGAACATGAACCTCAGTTTGCCACAAGCTAGGTGTTCTTTCTGTCTTGTCTGTTGGCTGTTGTGGGGTGAATCAGTCAACTGGGGTATGAAAGACTGAAGTTCAAGCTCCTAGTCTGAATCAGGCATAGTCTCTTCAATCAGGCATTGAACCTTAGTTTCCCACATCATGAGGATGTCTTTTTTGGCAGGGTAGGGAACATTCAACATTAATTCAATGTTCAACAACGTTTTCTTGCCAACCTCTAATAACCAATGAACTTGAGAAGATGGTTTGCTGGACCAAATTTGTCTTTGGGCAACTTTTCTGATATTGAATGAATTATACCAGACTGACTTCTACAAGGAAGTAAACAAAGTTACACTAGAGATAATGAATTTGAGCTAATGCACTTAACAGTTTTCTTACAGTAACATAACCATATTGCATTTCTAGTTCCTACTGTTTCCATTTGAGAGAACTGGGTTTTTAATTTTTTTTTTATTTTATGTCATGCATTGTAGACTGGCTTTCAATCTGTTTTACACCAGTTGCCAATAGCTCTTCTGCCAATTCTAGCAACAAGGGACCAGTAATTAGTTAAGTACATCCCATCCATAATGTCTTTTCTCTTCTGCTAGAGATTAGAAGAGGTTGATGTAGAAAATCCCAGTACAGCCAGAGGACAAGCTCTACCATATTTAAATCTCTTTTGGCACAATGCAGACTTAACATGCATGAAAATCTGGCTCTGAGTGATGAACTTAGTATTGTACCTACATTTATGGTTAATTTGTGTCCCTTAGGCCACCATATTTTTGGTTTCCTCAAGGAAGCAGGGATCATGTAAACAGTTGAACAATTAATCATTTAACTGATAAGCCTAGTGATAACCCATTATAGCTTACTGGCTATCATTTAGTGTGGAGCAGGGAGTAGTCTGTTGGGGAAGGGAAGCCACATGGTGCCCCAGCAGGAACCAGAAGGTGGCAGGGCAAGCAGCAGTGAGGAGTATGGGAGAGAGGAAGGGAGGGGCAGGCGGGACTATTACCTATAGCTAGGCTCCACAGACCTCAGTGTAGCCCTTTTGAGCTCCAACATCACCTGCCACAAGCAGCCTGGGCGTGGGGCAACCCCTTCTCCCTGCAGCAGAGTCTGAGCTGTTCAAGGCAAGCAGCAGAGAGGCAGTAAGTGGCTGCAGCGAGGTCTGTGGAGCCTAGATATTAGGTACTAGTCCCCACTTCCCCTCCCCTCTACTCTGCTGTCCACAAAGAAACCAGCTCTGCTCTTTCTCATGATTTTTAATTGTTTAACCATTGTAATTACAACAGGTGTAGTGGATATTTGTTTAAATTGGTATTTACATCCCTAGAAGGAAGTGTTCAGTATGTGGCCTTCTTATCTGACTTTTAAAATATTCCCAGTGTTAGTTCATCCTCCCCAAACAATCCAAATAATTTGGGAAGAAAATCTTGCAAAAATATTTTTCTTGGCAAATTTGAAGTACTTCCTGCTTTCAGGTGGGTCAGAAATAACCTCAGGGCATTTTGCCCCTTCTGTATTAGAGCCCAGAAAAAGGGGTGTATTAAAATACACCTGACATGGGTTTTTCAAATACGTTTGACCTTCATAAAGTACTGATGGTTTTGAACCAAATGCAAAACTTTTGTGGAAGGTTGAAGTCTGAGCCCAGATATCAGTCTACGACAGAAATTTTCAAATAATGCCAATCTGGTATATTTCATTGATGTGTAACTTGTGTTTAATTCAAATCTAGATCTAAATTTTGTGGGTGAAGCCCATGTCTAGTAAAATGTGATTTGAATTTAGACCTTATGTTCAAGTCAATTCTTTTATCCAAATTAACTCCATTAAATTTTACTCATCGGACCAGATCCTTGTCCCTTCGTGTAGTTGATTTACACAAGCATCCATAAAGCAGTCCTACAGGAGCATCCAAAGATTCCCCTGAATAGAACAGTTCTGCTGCCTGTTTCATGCACTGTGTTTGTAAGGCATTTGTTAGCGATAAGGAGGAGAAGGATGGGTGGGCTGCACCACATGTGACTGGTCCTCCGATGGTCTATTATACAGGAGCCTCACTGGTGCTGAAAGCATGCTTAGTGGAGCTGGAGTGTAGAAAACTCTCTGGGGCTGCAGCGGGGGGATGAATATTGGCAAAATTATACCATTTGCTAGCATCATTCTTGGAAATGGTTGAATCATATTAATTGCAACATTAAATGGGCCCTCTACCTGGGATCTCTTGAGTGTATATTAATTCAGTCTTTTATAGAAGCAGGACATTGGCTGCCATGGTTCCCCTGCTTTACCTGTTGCAGGTTAGGTTGTTGCGTATTGTGTTAGAAATCATAGAAAATAGGGGTGTATGAAACGGGCCATAATCAATTTGGATTCAGATTCGGCCTGAATCACGGACAGTGATTTGATTAATTGATTTGGATCTTTGTCCCCGATTCGATTCGGTCAAATCCGGATCTGAAGATTCGATGCTGATTTGGAGAATCAGTGATTTGGCCATAGACATAGCTTTAAATATTTTTCTACATGCCTTGAGGTACCAGGTGTGGCTCATGAATGCTGCAATACTGGGGCAGATGGAGCATCCCACAGGAGTGTGAGGGGAACCCCTCCCCCCATGTGCTCAGCAGTGAACCCAGAAGTGGACTGGAAGTACTTCTGGTCCACTTCCGGGTCTGATGGGGAGTGCACTGGGAGGACCCCTGTGCCCTGCCCCCCCCCCCCCAACCGGCTTGGTGATTGGCCACTGGGGGACTGCGGGTGCCTCCCCAGACCCAGGAAGCACCAGTCACTGAGCCAGGAAGCCATGGGGGGCCCCCCTGCGTGCTCCCTGGTGGACCCAGAAGTGGACCAGAAGTTCTTCTAGTCCACTTCTGGGTCTGTTGCTGAGCATGCTGGGGAGCTCCCCGTGCTCCTGTGGGATGCATTGCAGCATTCACGAGCCCCCTGGTACCTTGAGGTATGTAGAAAAAACATTTAACGCTGTGTCAGTGGCCAAATCTCCAAATCTTTCCAAATCTCTCTGAATCAATTTGGAGGGTTCCAATTTGATTCAAAGAGATTAAAGGGTCTCCTGATTTGATTCAGATTTGGAGATTCAGCCATTAAATTGGCCCAAATCTCTGCCAAATTGAAACAGGGACTGAATATAAAATTAGGGTCAGACGGGATGTCTGGAGGTTGTCTAGTGCAACCCCTTAGCTCAAAGCAGGACTAGACTAGATCATCTCAGCCAAAGCTTTGTCTAACCGGGAATTAAAAACTTCTAAAGATGGGTAGTCCAGCACCTCTCTGGGTTGCCTGTTCCAGTGCTTTGCTACTTTCCTAGTGAGAGTTTTTCCTAATATCTAACCTAAATGTCCCTTGCTGCAACTTAAGACCATTGCTCCTTGTTCTGTCATCTGCCACCACTGAGAACAGTCTAGCTCCATCCTCTTTAGAAACCCCCTTCAGGTAGTTGAAATCCTCAGTCTTCTCTTCTCTACACTAAATAAGCCCAGTTCTCTCAGCCTCTCCTCAGAAGTCATGTCCCCCATCCCCTCGCCGTTTTTGTACTTTCTGTTGGACTCTCTCCAATTGTCTCCATCCCTGCTGTAGTGGGGGGCCCAAAACTGAATACAGTACTTATGATGTGGCCTCACCAGTGCTGAATAGAGGGGAAGAATCACTTCCCTGGACCTGCTGGCAACACACCTACCAGTGCAGCCCAGAATGCTGTTAGCCTTGTTTGCAACAAGGGCACACTGCTGGCTCATTTTCAGCTTATTGTCCACTGTAACCCCCAGCTCCTCATCTTCAGAGGTGCTGCCCAGCCAGTCAGCCCCCAGCCTGTACTGGTGCATGGGATTTATGGATTTGTATAGGATGGTTTGGATAGGATTGCTGAACTGTAATTAAAATGGGGCTTTTATTTTGTTAGACAACTTTACATGTAGGTATAATACTGCAGCCAGTCTCCACTTTACTATATGAGTATATAATAAACTATATTATTCAAAGTGTTATCTGCATATAATACTTTGGGACTGTGAAATGACAGAGCTAAACTAAGGCCATTGGTATCTTCTTACTTGGGAGTGTAGCTAGTTGTTCTAATGTGTGTTCCAGCTTTCAGTGATTTTTCATATGCCCTTTTTCTGGCTAACAGCATAGTATGTGTTACAGCTGATAATCCAATGCAGAGCAGTGTGTGCTGCACACGGGTTATCTACAACACTGTGGGCTAAAGATTTTCTGTTATTTGGTATGACTAGTGTAGAACATTTGCATTTATTTGCAGTGTTGAAAAAACAGTAATCAAGAACACATCATTCAGGTAAATCAAATAGAAAACAAAGTGTTTTTTTCAATATCTGTAGTTACTACTTCTTTCAGCAGTAAATACATAGAAGACTGCTGAGTGATCTTGAGATCCTCATTGGCATTGTCCCAACCATTAGTTAATTATAGGTGAACGTTTAAAAGAGTTAGCTTCCAAATGTCATGGCCAGGCTTGGAAATTGCTGTCATGAGATCATCCATATGAAACCATTTCCCCTTAAAAAAACTGTTGATGATGCAAGCTGCATTAGCAAGCAGTGTGACCCCTGGCCAGCTATTTGGCTTGGCCCCCTGATGAATCTGGAACTGTAAGGCAGTTAGAATGAATTTAAAATGAAGAGAATGCTTCTCATTCTTCAGGAACAATTTGGCTCTCAGATTCATTTGGCAA